CTTCCGCTGCGCCACTCTGCTCACGGGAGTTATTGAGTTAGCATCTTCCTACTTAACGTTGCACACTGTCAGTGACTCCAATACTTGCTGTCATGTCAAATGAGTGTGACGCTTCTTTTTCTTATCTGGCTCTCCATATTAAGTTTGGTGTCTCTATACGCCACTAGAAGGCTTGACGAGCTAATGTTTTTGTTATGGTATTGCTATAAAGTACACAGACAGTAGGCCTATATCTAGTTCAAATTAAGCTGTCACTACATTTTAGGTGGAACATTTGAATTATGTGTTTGTTTATTCTTAAAAGATCTTAAAATGTTATACTGTGTAGTTTGTATTAATATGTATGGCTTTTACAGTAAATACTGAAAAACATGCACAATTTCTGAGGTGTATTTCTCACACACATTTGTCCTTTCAGAAATTACATTTTCAGAACAGTTCACACGCAGGCTGAAAGTCGCTTTGCAAAAAAGCATATCACAGCATGAATTGTATCCTTTTTTTCGAAGATGATCTTACTAGAGATAACAAACGCTGCTACACTCTGCCTCTGCACTTTTTACACTTTTTTCAGATGCACTGTTCTGTGAATTCTGTGAAATGTTTCTTTATTAATTGTATTTGTGTGTGCAGGTCGTTCCATGCCTATGAACTGTTGTCAACATGTAAAGCCCAGTTCAGACCAGTTCAGATCATCTGGTTGTATTGGTGTGAACTGGCAGGATTTCAGAATGTTACAGACCAGTGCGCTGCAAGTAGTTGCAAGTCTTTGGTCTGAACTGGGCTTAATACCCACAGTAAGCACAGAGACTAGACTAATTCAGATATTCATTATGATGCAGCTTTTGTACTGCATTCTTTCTTCACCAGAGAACCAATAAAGAATTTCACCCAAACTTTGAAATACTCAGAAACAGTTTTATTGTACTGTGTCAGATTTTTTCACATCATTCTTTTTGACTGAAACATAACAGCATGGCCGCCCTATAAATAGTCTGTGAGTGACTGCAAACTCCTCTTCCTCAGGCCCTACCTTCATGGCCTCTCCCCTCAGGTGTCTTTGACCTCTTCGATCCATGCTTGCAAACAGCAACACAGAGGTGGCAGCTTTTATCAATGGATAAGGACTGACTGCTGATTGAAGAGTTGTGCAAAGAAGTTTCAAATAGATGCATTAGAGATTCATAACAAGTCATTTCTATCAGCTGTCAATAGATGTTTTATTTTTGTTTAACACGGTTAAACACAACACAACATCTGTTAACCGTTTTGAAAAAAGGTGTGAAAAACTGTGTGTGACATATTCTGAAAATAAAACATTCAGGTTTAGAGTTAAACATATAGTTTCTAAATACAAAGTAATTATTCAACATATTTACACTGTATGGTACGCTGGCTGCCCTCATAGGGGCTGTGAAGATTTTACAAAGCATGATCAGTTTTATATCTGTCAGTGAGGCTGAATATCAATTCCTGAAAACTGACTCCTTTAAGGTCCGATTTGTTCAACAGAAGCAATTAAATATCGATAAATTCCATTGATGTGTGTAACTAACCACTGATAATACATGGACCAAAACACACTACTTGGATGGACTGAATAAAGGCTGGATAGATGGACTGAATAAAGGCTGGATAGATGGACTGAATAAAGACTGGATAAATGGACTGAATAAAGACTGGATGGACTGAAATGGGCTGGTATGTTTCAGCTGGAACCCAGAATACAGATCACACACATTGTTTTTGCTGCAAACTAGCTCACTGTTATAATGCAACAATGACTCTGCTTCGTGTTCCTTGTGATCATTCTATCAAAGTGAGGACAGATTGCGACACTGAGACCGGCCTGTACATATATCAGCAAATGATCTCTACTTCTTTAACTTTATTGTACTCCTCCTGCTGCTGCTTTATCTTGTCTTCTGCTTTCTTCCTCTCTTCTGCCCCCCTGTCCTTTACCTCTGTCTTCTTCCTCTCCTCCTCCTCTTGTTCCTTTGCGCCTTGCTCTAGTTCTCCTTCCCTCTCCTCGCCTTTTGTAGCCCTCCTCCTGTCTCGCAGGGCGCAGGGCAGACAGTTTGCCAGGAAGAGGACAGCAGAGAGGCAGAGCAGAGAGAGGACAGCGCCCATGCCGACCTCCAGCTCTCGAGCTCCCTGCCCTTCCTCCTCCTCCAACTTCCTCTCTCTTCCATTCTCCTGGCTCGGGGAGAAGTACACAGCGCCCTCCTCCTGGCTAGGCATCAGCACAGCTCTTTCAAGATTATTCTGACTGACCATCCCTCCATTCCCCATCTCGTTCCAGTTCCTGTTAGTCATCTTCCCGCTCATTTTGTCGTAGTAGTCACTGCTTACATTCCCACTTTCGTCCTCGTCAAAGTTCGACACATAGATATCGCTGTCGGACTCCACCAGTGTGTCTGAAATGTCAAACTCAAACACCTCATCCTCCTCATTCTTGTCCCCAACTGACTGCAGGAAGCCCAAGTCTAGGTTGACTCTTATCCAACCAGATCCTCTCGCCAGCCTCCTAGTCCCGCTTCCTCCTCCTCCTCGGTTGTCCACCCAATCCCCGTCTCCTTCACTGATAGAGTTGGAGGTGATTGGCTGGTCAGCACAGATCGAAACCAAAAGTTCTGCACGTAGTAAGGGCCCGCCTCCATCGCCCTGGGCAAAGATGCGTTGGCTGGGACCAGGCGTCACCACAACCACGGTCTCAGCCAATGAGGAGAGACGCAGGAAAAAGGGAAGGTCGCTGAAGGAGGAAAGGAGGGAGGCTGTGTCGTCACTGAACTGGAGCCAGACGCTTATGGACGCCTCCTGGAGAGACAGGACAGGATATGGATTGAAAGATATCTTGCTTTGAGAATGTATAGTGCCTGCACTCTATGAAGAATTCACACATCATAAATCAACCTCTCCTCTCTCACCTGGTGATGGTTGTACAGGATGTTGTAGGCTGTCACTGTTGTTGTGATGATGGAAGGGTGGGCGGGGCTTGCCGCCACTGACATGCCAAGTCCGCTGACCAGCTGTACAGACAGATCCCCGGGGGTGACGGGGTCGGAGGTCACAGTGATGTCACATCTGCCCAGCACACCATCCCACTGCTCAGAGATGATCTGAGAGGGAGAGAGAGAGAGAGAGAGAGAGAGAGGATGGTGATGATGATGATGAAGTAAGTAAGTGAAGATTCCCAACTGAATTGATGTCCAACTATCACCTACATGGAGTGATGTCTTTCCTGGTCGTAAACCAATCAGGTTGTTCTGGGTGTCGAGGGAAGCCACTCGAGGGTCTTCTATTCTCATTAATTTAATGACCAGCTCGGTAACATCCACAAACCAATCAGATGAGCCCAGGAGATATGTGGGTCTGCTGCGGGAGTCCTGAGCTGTGAACTGAGTCAGGACCTGGATTGAGGAGCGCTGATACACTGGCACACACCTGAGGAGACAGGACATACATGAGCAGCTAAAGGTCTTCACGTATTTATGTGTGTGTGTGTGATAATACACAGATGCATATGGTCATACTTGTGTTACCAATCCATCAGATAATATATCAGTGGTTATTAATGGTAACCCTGAGGATAGTTAAAGCTTTCAGGCCTTAAAGGTTTGCTATGGAGTTTCTGACCACTAGCAGTGAGTGGGAAACACTGCACATGTAGAGAAACACACAATCAAAGGCCTGTAAAGAGGCCAAATAAACCACAGTGAAGACACACTGAGGCTGTCTCCTACCCTTTCTCTGTGAAGTGGTTCCAGCCATCAATGGCATTGAGAACAGGGTCTGCCAAGGAAACTCGCAGGGGCACTGAAGGAGCCCACACCTCCAGACAAACAGAGCCATGGAGCGTGCCCAGTAGAAACTCCACCACTGCACAGGTATTACCCAATCCTGATTCGCTGCCATCCACGAAGAGGGTGGAGCAATCGCTGGACACCTGTAGTTAGGATGGAGACAGACAGAGGACAAGAGCAAAAGACTGGTGATAAAAGGACATACAGTATGTATAGTAAGTCAATCATAACATTAGAAAAGATGAGTTTAGTTGTGTTTGCCTTGTTCTAAAGCTGCAGTAATCAATATTTTTATATCAACGATGACTTAAACAATAATGTGTAATAATGTGTTTCTCATAATGACAAACGCACAGAGAATTACAACCAACTCTGCAGTTCCCTACAGCTCTACTGTAACTGCCCCTGGTCCCTATGATTGTATTTGTTATGGCACACCTCTGCTTCCCCTTTCAATTCAATTCAATTC